TTAATCTTTACACCATTCAGTTATAATAAATAATCAATTGTATGCTTTTCTTTGTTAGATACTTCCATTACAAACCAGAATTTGAACATAAACGTAATTAAGAGTAATGACAATGTTGATAATAATCAAAGTTAGTATTTTCTATAGTTTACCTTCTTAACTTATTCTAATTCTAAATATTTTTGATTTTCTTTTTAGTCATGGCCTTATTAAATAAAATAGCTCATGATGTATCAATAATGAAAACAGACCTGGCAGATATCCAAATAACTGTTGCTAGATTATTGACTAAAGACACTAATGTCATGTCTATTAGGTCCAAAATGTTATCATTGAATCTACCAAAAACATCTTTGGATGAACTAGAAACACTTGAAGCTAATTTAAATGATTCTCAATTGGAAAAAGATTTAGTAAGTTATAATATCAATATGTTATGTTACATTAAGCAATTGCATTTACATTAATGTCCTTAAAATACTATGTGAGTAATAATATAATTCTATAGATTATTAAGAGGACGCCACCCGGGTATTTATTCTCTTTGTCTTACAAGTGCGTAAAATAGCAAATTTACACTAAGCAGATGACGTTTAGCTCTGTTAGTTTAAAAATTAGAGTGATTCGACCTATTATGAAACTTGATGGCAAGAACATTATCTGTGTTCGTATGTTTGTTTTTTACAATACATACATTTTTAGCAAGTTATGCGTATATACTATAGCGTAAATTAAAACTTCTCTTAACACTAAAAAATGAACAATCGTAAAAAACAAACTTACGAACACAGAATATGTTCTTACCATCAAGTTTCATAATAGGTCGATACACTCTGAATTTTAAACTAACGGAGCTAAACATCATCATCTGAGCTTAAATTTGCTATGTTATGTACTTGTAAGGCGGAGACAACCAATATCCAGTAGGGGTCCTCTTAAGGATAAATTTATCTCAACTTTATTTTATAAAATTCAATATCTTATTTTTTTTTATGTTCCTCAACCTAGTCATTTCAACTTAACCTTCCAGTTAAAATCATAAATAATATGTTTAAAAAAAATCTAGATTTTAAATTATTAAAATAATTGGTTTACTTGTTATTATAACATATTATAATGTGTAATTTATTTTTTATTTATTTTTTCTGAAGTTCCTATAGGTACTATATAACTTGTTGTGTAACAGTTTTCATCAACATTCCATTTCCCTCACTAAATATTCTGTTAAATTAAATTATAACTATAAGTATACTTACTATTAGATATATAATTTAAATCATGATTCCAGGAATTTCATTTAGTAAAAACTGGTATTACTGATAATAGTAAAGGAAAGTCGATTAATCGCTGGTTAGCCTCAATAATGACCAACAGTGTGGCTACAAATTTTAATGTTGAGGGAAAAGGAACAAAAAAAGGGTTCATACATTACAAAATATCCAATATCATAAGAGGTGAGCTAAATATTTGAATGCATAATTTATTTATTTGTATATGTGTAATTAGTGCCTAAAGCCCTGAAAATATATAATATAGTAGTAAAATGTACAGATGTTCTTACAATAATATAGTAGGTACAATTTTGTTCTATCTAAAATAAATATTTTACCAAATTGTTTAATTTTATTAATGTGTGGAAATCAGTCATTATATTATGTATTTATTATTTATATTTATGTATTTAATATTGTTACTTATTTTCTAATTTTCAATTTGATTTTAGATGTTTCATATGCTCTTCAGAAAACCACAGATAAAGAATACAAGGATGCATTGGGAGCCTGGTTAAGACAGGCTAATAAGCGAATAAAAAATAAAATAATTCTAAGTGACGGCATTACACATGCATAAGTATATTTTAGTTTTATACTTCAAGTATTATTTTTTTTCCAATAAAGTGGTTGAATTTTTGAAACAATTTGTAATTTATCTTATATATAAGATGTTATGTATACATAACAGTGATGTATAATATCCTACAGTGGCGTAGCCAGGATTTTGAAATGGGAGGGGGGGTTATAGTATAAATTAAACCAAGTTTTTATAGTTTTCATATATTAGTAATACAATTATTAAGGGAAAAATATCTGAATGGCTACGCCACTGATATCCTTTTTTTTCTGTTTTAACCGACGACGCCGCGGGATCTGCTTTCGCATTGCTTCCGCGAAACGCCACTGATATCCTATAACATCCTATAATAACTTGTGTAGTTGTGTAAATATTTAATTAACTAAACTATAATGTATGGTATGAAATAAAATATTTATACATAATATAGAATATTATGTTTCAGTGGAATTCAATTGGGAGGTTGCACAAGGTTTAGCATAGAGTTGCCTATGTGATATTATATTTACAACCAATACCTATAGATAATTAAACTAACCTAACCTATATATAGATAATTAAATAAAAAATGTAAATTAAATGTTTGGGCTTTGATATATCTCAGACATGTATATAACTTATATGCTATATGTTAATGCAATAAATATGTAAAACCAGAGAAGTAACTATAGTAAATATTTTCAAAAGGGTACTATAAAAATGAAATATAAATAAAAAAAAAAATCAATAATTATAATTATAATAATAAATAAATTACTATCATTATTAGAGAAATGCTGATAACAATTTTGGAGGGGGGCTATAATTTATATTGCCCCCAACCCCTCTCACCATCATTGGTAGAAGGTATATGCTATGTGTAATATATATTAAATACACATTGAATATGATATGTTAAATATACATTGAATATATGTTGTATATATAAAGAATAATCCCCATTGAATCAACGTATAATATATATATTAAGCTTAATTTGGATATATACGGTTGGTCCAAAATCTACGTATATTAGATGTTGAATAGTGTCACATTTGCCTATCAAATCAACTTTGAATCCATTTGTGGATGTTGATTTGTGGACGTCTATTCAACAGTGATTCAACTGAATTGTGCACTCTGGGTAATTCCTCCCAAACTGCAATACATACTTCTCTTACAATATTCCCTACAGTTGAAGCGCCTAGTTTGAACGTGTAGTGCAAATCTATAAATGTACATCCTGTTTCTAAGTATCTGTAATAATAAGAACATTAAGTTTTGCAAAAAGAGACTATTTTTATTTTATTTTAGGTACTTTTTTAAATTCTTTTCTTTTGAAATCGTAAAAAAATCGTTATTATTTTGAAGTTAAAAAAAACATATCTATCATTGTATTACAATTTAACACATCGCATAATCAGTGTTGAAAAATATTTCTTATTTTATATAGATAGTTTTCCGGTTAATTATATTAATCTACATCTAGTTCTAGTTATTAAAGAAAATAAAAAAAAAATATATTTCAACTATCTATACCTATATAGCACAAAAATCAAAATATAGAAATCTAAAAAAGTCCAAATACTTTGAAAGTATTTTTTTCGAATACTTAGCAATCTTTAGACTGGGATTTATATGTAATAAAAAACCAAAAATATGTACATATATAATGCTAATATCAAATGCTAATAAAAAAAATTGTGCCTATGTATTCTTATAATTTTTTTATCGCCATAAAAATAACTTATGAGGAACTTTGTATTAATTTTTCAAATATTTTGACTCCGCCAAAAAAATTTTATCGACACTTAAAAAAAAAAATTCTTAGGAAAATTGAAAATTTCAGTTGTCTATAAATCGCTCAAAAAAAGTCAAAATATTTTGAAAATAAAATCACGTAAAGAAAATGCCAATCTAAAAAAAATACTTAAAAAAATTGAAAATTTCAATTGTCTATAAATAGCTCACAAAAAGTCAAAATACTTTGAAAATTGAACGGTGTATAGAGAACACTAACATAAACATTTGGTGAAAATTTCAAGTATTTACAATGATTAGTTTTTGAATTACAACAATATAAAAAAATCGATTTGGTCGAATCCATCACTCCGTTCAGAATCTAAAAAACATCATTATAAAATCAATGCATTCATCACTCTATTCATAATTTAAAATTAATTATTATTATAATTTATAATATTGTATTATATTAGGAGACAACATTGAAAAAAAATGGAAACATATCAAAGACGCATACTTTAGAACAATTAAAGAAAATAAGCCAAAGTCAGGCGATGGGATGACAAAAAAGAGAAAAAAAATTATATTTACCACGATCAAATGCAGTTTCTAACAAAAACTATTATACCTAGACAAACAATAAGCTCTATAACTAAGCAACATTCTGAAGAAAGCGCCGAACTTCAACCGTCTACTTCAGAAATTAATTTACCTTCAGCCGAAATACAAAATAATAATGAATTTAAAAAACAACAAAAGAAAAGATCCAGAAATGTTGAAGACACATTTATGAAGTATCTAGAAGAAGCTACTAAAAACAGGAAGGATCAATGTAACGTAGTTAAAGATGAACATGAAAATTTTTTTGACTCAATGCTCCCAGTCGTTAGACAATTTTCTGTTGACCAAACGTTGGCATTTAGGGCAGAAATGATTAACGTCATTCAAAAAATTAAACGTGGCACAATGTATCCTACAGATCAATTTCAACAGTCGCAGTATGAACAATTTCCAAATTATTATCGTTTTCATCATGGTACAACCCAAAGAACTACTTCGCCTGCTATGTCACAGATGTCGAACAGCAGTTCAATCTCGACATTGCCACCTCAAGTTCCGTTGAATCAATATGAGCCAAATTTAAATGAATATACATTAAACAATTCTACATTTATTTAATTATTATAATATTTTACAATAAATTTTTAAAAAAAATGCTGTAAGTGAGTAAACTATATAGGTATATATTTCATATATTTTTTTTTTAATTAAAAAAGTTTGTTTTTTGGTTTCAGTATCTATAGCTAAGATAAAATATCTATTATTAACAATAATTAAAAATAAATGAATTAATTTCCTGATTTTTATTATATGATGCTTACCTTAATGTTACTGCTAACTTTTCAGCTGGAGTAATACTTTTTCTCATGTTAGTATCGATTCCTAAAAGTCGTGTTCCTAGATACATTGTTAATAGTAAGTTCATCAAATGCCGATACGCTCATCCGGAAATAGTTAAAAAACTTCACTGGATCTTTTCTGATATTTTCAAAAAGTAAATTAAACGCACCTTCAGAAGGACGTGTACTATTTAAAGGATGTACCCACATCTTTCTATTAATTTTTTTTTATTTTTAATAAAAAGTTGGTAACCCAAAAACAAAATAATATTTTCATCTGCCATGATGGTGTTGTCTAGTTGAAACATGGACACATACTAACATGAAATAATTTATCGTGAATATCGTTAAAACGTGCCGTAAATAAACGCTTGTGTGTTGTTATGAATTAAAACGCGCGGTAAGTTTTGTTTACGCGGTAAAAATGTCGCGCGGTAAAATAACGCCCGTGTGTTCCCAGCCTAAGATGTGCATTACGGTAAAAGCAGTGTCCTCTGAGCGCCGTGAGCGGAACATTCTCGCTTATGGACATGTTGTAATTATCGCGGAGAAAAAAACGAACGTAGGTACCAGTATAGGTAAAACATTTATTATTATTGTTATTTGTTGCACATTTTTTCACAATTATAAGTAATAACAATATTTATGATATGACACTATGATAGTATTATATTGTTATACCTACATAGTTTGATTAAATATAATATAATAACCTACTATTTATGGTACAAAAGACGGCCGTATATGTTATTATATTCGACAGTGACATATTATAATAAATTATTTATTGCTGTTATTATTACAATTTGTATTTTATATTTTACAATATAAACCTCTTGTTTGATATATTAAAAATTACTGATAGGATTGATTATATATTACTAATTACTAATATTTATAAGTAATTATTGAGATTAAATAAAAACACATTGGAATAAGCCCGGCAGCGAGCGATGTAGGTTGTAGGTACAGACTACAGACCTGCATTTGCCATTTGGCATTCAAAAATGTAGGCTCAGTTATATTAGTTATAAATTATAATACACAGTGTTTGGCAAGTTCCTTATAAAAAGGAATTCGTACCGTTCCAATTGTTCCTTAAAATAAAAAAAATAATTCGTTCCTTTGTCGTTCCTCTGGAAAATGAACGAGCTCCTTTTTTAGTTCCGAATAAAATAAAAATTCTTATTTAATCATTAATGTTTTTTTTTCATATGCATACTTCTTTAAATTGTAATTATAATATATACCTACAAGTAGGTAGGTACCTACATATTTTATAATTATAGTACGAGATTTTCTTCAAAGTTAAATTGTTGGCCGACGTATGTCTTATCGTTTATTGTTTAATAATAATTATATTTTATATAGGTACATATTTCTATATAAATTATAACTTATAACTTTAAGAAATATTAATAAAGTGATTAATGACTAATGAGTAACGATTAACGTCGATACTCGATAACGATCATTCATTGGCAATAATTATTATACACATTAAAAAAATATATACATCTGTGTAAATTATTGGAACTAGAAAGGAACGAAACATTTTGTTATTTTTCCTTGTAAATAAAAGAACTCGTTCATTTTCTCCTTGTTTTATAAAAAGGAATTCATTCCAAGTATCCGTTCCTGTTGTCATGGGGAGGGTCCAGATAATTTTCAGAACACAGAGCCACGCGGGACGAAGCCCCCCACACCACCCATTTACTCTTTATTAAATAAAATATACCATATTTATAAGACGATATAAAATTGTCGAGTTTTTAGTTATTAAATAATAATATGTACAAAACAAATTTTAAAAAAAGCGGGTGATTGGATGTCACTCTGCTGCTGTCTTATTTTTGTTATTCACAAGTATGAAGCACGGTATTTATACGTATGATAATTTAGGTACCTACCAAAAAAGGAATAACGTGAGTATATTTAAAAGCTTTACATTGCATATAAATTAGAAAATTTTAATAGACATTATTAATCGTTTGCCTTTGCGCATATTATATCCTTATACCCTTATATAGATGGGTACCTACTACTTATTTTTATAAGTGTGCTCGGACATTTTTGGCAGGGTAGTAATATACAATTATTAAATATTATAACACATTAAAACACACACATATGTATATATTACATTCTTATTCAGTATTCATGCCTAACTGCCTAAGTTATAACAATTAATTTGTATGGGTTAACTTTATTTGAGTATATTTACCATAGTAAAAAAGTATATTATAAATAAAAATAAAATTATTGATTAGGTATCATAGTAATAATGAATATAGTACGCAGAGTAGTCAAGTGCCTATCATGATTCATGACTACCCTGTGCGAACGCTTATGCCTATTGCTAATTTGCTACAAAGTTATAAATTACTCAACTGACTTAATATGTAGGTATTTAAATATCCGTCTATCTGTGTATAAGTCTAAGAATATTTTTTTGTGAATATTCAACATTAATAACTAGAAATAAGTTGCTTAAACTAATAACTAATTATTATATAAATTTACAACTTATAATTCCAATTGCAATATCAAAATGGGTTTGTAGTTGGAAGTAGAATGTAGCTATGTAATGTAATGTAATTAGACTTCTCCATGTTTCATACTTTTGTAAATTTAATAATATTGTGTTCAGGGTCTAAAATTGAGTTAAATTTTTTATATACCTATAGCTAATCCCCATTATTACTTAAATTACTGATTACTAATTACTAATTGTTTATTTTTATTATTATAGATATTACAGATGTGCAAGACGTGCAGGGAATTTTTGTTCAGGATCATTGAAAAAGTTGGCGGATGGCACATTTATTACTATTAAATCACATAATGGCCACCAACCCCATAATCCTAATGAGGCATTGGTTAGAGCATTGAGGGAAGTTCTTAAAAGAAGGGCTTCATCAAAAAATTTGATATTGAAGCATATTTATGACGGAGAAGCTAGAAGGTAAGTACATAATTTTGTAACACTAACGGTACAAAAAGCACATAAACTAGAAATACTTTTTCAGTCTACCCACCTATAACTTGTATGAATAAGCATATGGGACTAAACACTAAAATCATATGTATAAAAACATTAAAATAGGAGGTCACAAAAAGTTTATTTTCAAAATAAAGCTTGACACAGTTAACTTAACTCTTAATTTAATAATTAAATATATTTATACTTAGTATAGTAATAGTAATTCATTGTTTCCAAAAACATAGCTTGAGTAGGAAACAGGAGTTTTAAATTAAGTTAGCTAATATATATATAAAGATTAAAGAAGAAACAAAAGTAATATATAAATATAAAAAGGTTTAATTAATATAACATGAATAAATAATAAGTAGACAGTCTACTAGTATTAAAATCTACAATGAAATATTCAAATATAATATAATATATAATAATATATAAAGTTTAATATTAAAGTACAATATAATTATATTGGTAAAATACTATATTTAAATTATTATATTCAAGGACATATTTTATGTATAACATGATTCTTAAATAATCTAAAATCAGGGAAATTCTTAATATCAATTACTAAATTGTTACATAAGGTAATACAAAATATATTAAAAGGATTTTTCTTACCAAATTCGGTAATAAACTTATTAGTTATAAATATTACCTATATTTTTATTATTTTTGTGTGTATTGTAAATGTGATTAAACCTTATTAGTTCATTTAAATCAGTATAATATTAATTACAAATACAAATATTATTATTATTAAGTAACACCCTCGAAGGGTAATGATAGGTACAGAATTATATACAGGGTGTATCTTATGTCATTGTACGCGGGATTTTTTGACGATTACGGAACGATGATATGGAATTTCGTTAAAACGAAAAAAGACGTGTTTCTTTATTTTTAACAAGCAATTTTTTTATAACAATTTCAAAATTTTTAAACACGCAGGTGTACCAATAGCAAAATCAACTTTTTTTTTCAAATGGTAACTACTATATTTTTTAATGGATTCTGGTAAAGATTTTTTTTCTGAACATTTTGGTAGTCGAATCGTCAATTTTGGTTTGCTAGTTTATTAACTATGGTCCTCCAAAGATTAGTAAAATATGCATTAATACTTTTAATTAAAATATTGGGTATAGGTTTAATTTACAAGCGCTAAACAATTTTTTCTTATAACTACCATTTGATACACTACAATAGTTGAATCGGTAATCTAATGACACCCTCAAAAAAAAAAAAAAAATAACAAACACAAATGTGTAAACACTAAACATACTCCATTATTTTTATTTTAACATACGATCATAAAATTCAATATTATTATTTTAATATCCAAAACTAAAAAGGATGGAAAGGGATGAATTACAACTCCTAAGTTCATACTTTGGATGCGATACCATTATGGGGAATCTACGGTTAATATATCAAGTTTATACTTTATACCACTACGAAAAGAGCACCACAAAACATTGCACTTTTTTCGTTGCACATATTAATGTCAACAATCGAATACCATTTACCAATTTACCATTATTACCTTAGCCACCTAACCTAACCTACCTAATTAAGAATTCAAATTTATGATATTGTAAGAAAAGTAACTGTGATGAAAAAAATGTAAAGTAATTAATTATAATAATAAATTAAAATAATAATATTGATTTTTATGATCGTATGTTAAAATAAAAATAATGGAGTATGTTTACACATTTGTGTTTGTTATTTTTTTTTTTTTTTTGAGGGTGTCATTAGATTACCGATTCAACTATTGTAGTGTATCAAATGGTAGTTATAAGAAAAAATTGTTTAGCGCTTGTAAATTAAACCTATACCCAATATTTTAATTAAAAGTATTAATGCATATTTTACTAATCTTTGGAGGACCATAGTTAATAAACTAGCAAACCAAAATTGACGATTCGACTACCAAAATGTTCAGAAAAAAAATCTTTACCAGAATCCATTAAAAAATATAGTAGTTACCATTTGAAAAAAAAAAGTTGATTTTGCTATTGGTACACCTGCGTGTTTAAAAATTTTGAAATTGTTATAAAAAAATTGCTTGTTAAAAATAAAGAAACACGTCTTTTTTCGTTTTAACGAAATTCCATATCATCGTTCCGTAATCGTCAAAAAACCCCGCGTACAATGACATAAGATACACCCTGTATAACTTTAAGAAAGTAAGAATACAGTGTGCATAAAATTAAGCTAACAATATATACCGTAAGGTGGGGTTACTTTGATCATTAATTTTCAATTATTTTAGTTTTATACTTATTGTACTAGTAACCAACTGAAATATATAACATTTAATTATTAATAATTATTCTACATTATACCTTTAACTGAAAATTTCTCAAACCAAATTTTTTTTTTACATTTTTACATTAGTTATAACTAATATTAGTTATTGATCAAACTTACCCACCTTTTGGGGTGACTTTGATCGCACCCCTGAAAATGCGTATAAACATGGGTACAGTCATCAAAGTGATCATTCTCGCCCCACAAAAAAATCGGTTCGGTAATTTTTGAGTTTTGAGAGAAAAAATGTATTGTAGAAAAAAATCAAATGATCAAAGTCGCCCCTTAATGTCAAACTCACCCCACCTTACGGTAACTATATAATAGTGGTACATACAATAAGATTAAAATACTTAAAGATTAGTAGGTAATAGATATAATTATACCATTATAATGACAAATAGTGGATATTCTGCAGTGACCAAAGCTGTCTGTTTTAAATTGGTTCTTTGTAGGTCTGTTACCCATAATTTTACTTAGTGTTTTACCTATATGTAAAACGTTAAAAGATTATTTAATTATTCATTCATCTCATACGTTTTCAAATGTAAAAATAAATTATTAATACCCTTGTATTTTTCTTTATAAAAACAGATAAATACATTTTAATAACATTTAATTACATTTTATAAACAAAGTAAACATCGAAATTTAAAAGATTCTAAGAAATCTTTGTGAACACTATTTTTTGTTTTCATAGAAATCCTGAAGCTTCTAGCCTGTATCCATATTCAACTGCTGAAAGTATTATGCGACTAGCCAGAAGATCGTCGCTGCCATCTCTGCCCCATTCTCTGGCTGATTTGGCTACTATCTTTGATGAAGGACGTTTGCATCGTTACTCTTGCTGTGGTGAAATCATGTTTAAGGGTTGTGTGCAAGATGTTGATGGCCGAGCATGCATGATTTTTTCATGCACCGCCCTACTACAATTAGTTTTGGCTAACAATATTGACGAAGTGCATGTAGATGTGACTTTTAAGGTTGTGCCTTCAAACATGGGAAGTCAGTTGTTGACTATCCATTGTATGATTGACAATTATGTATGTATAATTTTGATATTTTAATATTAATCAAATTTCATATTTAATAACCAAAATTACTAGTTAACTGAAAAATAAGAAATTAGTTAAAACATGAATTACAATTATTCTGAAACTTTTTATTTCTAATAATATTATTGCAAAGTAAATGTTCTAAATCTTGATTTCATTATATTCTGACTAATATTATTTATCAATATAGTTAATAGCTACATATTATGCTTAAGTTATCCTTGTGTAAACTATACCATAATATGATAACCATAAAGTAGGTATAACATTATCCATTATATAGGTACTAAAAGACAGTAAAACTTGATATATGTATTTTTGTTTAGTCTATACCTATAGTTTACTGTCTCATGGAATGTAAAACGAGAAATACGTACAACTGCGTTTTCAACTTTTTAAAGACAAATTTGCTGGCCAACCTCAATCCATCCATTATAATAACGGATTATGAAACTGCACTGAGAGATACTCTCACATTTATATTTCCAAGTGCACGAATCACCGGGTGTTGGTTCCACCACAACCAAGTGAGTTCATTAATAAAGTTATAATGAAATAAAATAGTAATTACTAATGATAAAAAAAAAACATATACCTAGTTTACTAATTTAAAAATAAATCATTTAAAGGTAGTTTGGCGAAATATGAAAAAAAGAGGATTTTTACAATTAATAAACACAAATAAATTTGCTTCAAAAGCTCTAAGGATGCTATTTGCATTACCATTGTTACCATCTGGTGATATACAGCGAGCATTTGATATGGTAAGAATGTTTGCTGTGAATCACGGAATACCAATGTCAAGTTTATTTGATTACTATGATAAGTAAGAATATTTAAATTATTAATATGTTTAAACTTATAAAAATCATATATAGTAGATTATAATAAATTATTGCTACTAATCAATTAAATACCTATTTTTAGCTATTGGCTCAGACAAGTTGGATCAAACATTATTTCAGTTAATGGTTTACCAAGACGAACAAATAATAGTCTCGAAAGTTTCCATAATACTTTGAGGAACAAATTTAATGTCACTCACCCTAACTTATGGATATTTTTAGGTAAACATATATATATATATTTTTTTTTTAAGTTATTCAATTATTACCAACTGCTACCGATAATATTGGATTAATGTTTATATTACAGATCACCTATCTCACTTGAGTATGAGCTTCCACACTATTATGGCTCAGATAAATAATAATTTAAGGCCAACAAGCAACCACCGAATAAATTATAGACATTTAAATTCAATCCAACACGCTTGCCAACAATATACTCTAGGGCTGATATCTATGTGGCAGTTTCTTCAAAGAATGTCGCATGCTACAACAACATATGAACAACAGCAACGAAATTGGGCAATGCATGTAGATAATGAACCACCAATAGTTGTTCAACCAGCAGCCCCAATACCAGGAGCTGCATATTTGGTGCCAGTTGTTGCACTAGTACCGGTAGGTGCTGATCTATTCCCAGTTATTGCACCAGTACCAGTAGCTGCAGATTCAGCACACATTGTTGTACCAGTAGCTGCAGATTCAGCAGAAGTTGTTGCACCAGTTCCAGTAGCTAATTTATTGCCAGTTATTGCACCGACAGATGCAGCTGAAATACTGCAGCTGTTAGAACCAGTTGGTCATCCTTACCATCTCAAGGTAGTAAATATAACTAAAAAAAATCATAATTAATATAATTTAAAAATTTAAATAGTATTTTCATTAAAAAGGTAATACTTTAAATATGTTCAATTATGTCTTTATTGTGTATGCATTATATCTACTTATATATTTATAAATATTATTATATTGTCCATAAGCTGACCCAGGGTTTTACATTTGAGTGTGCCCGGCTTTTTTTTCTAGTTGTTTTTTTTTATAATACAGACGTGAGGCTATAGACAAATATTAACCCGCAATATGATTTTTTTTTACCTCATAAATATATACCATAGGACAGTATATAAAATACACTAAAGTTAATAATATATTTTAAGTATCCAGCCCTTGTTCTCTAACCAATACTCTAAAATATTGTATAATATAATATTTACCTATATGGCTATATAGCTATTGGCTGATACAATAATATACAATATTACTATAGGTACCTATGTAATATAAAAGTAGGCATTACTTATGAATTTAGAGCAAGGATTTATATGCATTAAAAACCAACTAAAAAATTCCTTAATATGCATAAATATATGCACTCAAATGTTAAAATATGCACGAAAAATAAAAAATATGCATAAAAAAAATTAATTAATACAATATATTTATTTAAAAAAATTATGGAACCCAACTATCAATACTTATCTACTTTTCTTAATTTTTTCTTGTTTTTGTAGGTAGTTTTAATCTATAAGAAAAAAATAGAAATCAATTTATATCAAAAATGTATCCCAAGATAAATTTACTTACCTAAATGTGAATTGCATTGTATGACAATCATTTTAGCTATATTTTCAAAAACCATTGATCGGCGTTTGTCAGTCAACAAATTTTTATAACTTGAAAATGACCGTTCCACGTCTACAGAAGTAATAGGCGCGTATTAAAAAAATACCATATCATTTGAGGATAAATTGTTTTTTTTTAAACTTCACTTGTTTGAATTGATTCACTTTCACCATTTAAAATTTTTAATATTTTAGTAAGAGTTTCGTAACCTTCGTTTTTTGATAATACTCTATTAAATTTTTGATAAACAGATTTACTCTTTTGTCCGTTACACTTTTGAAGAGATACTTTTGCGTTTTCAATCAAAGTGATGGCATCATTTAAACTAAGGCCCGATTTTTCGAGACATTTAATTGTTTCCGGTAAAAATCCAAAATTAGATTTTATATATGTCAAACTCGCATCCAACGATTTGTCCAGTATAACGTCTTGAGCCATTTGTATAGAAATCACGTCATCTGGGTTTAACTGGTTAACAATACTTCGAATTTGTTTTATATTTTCACAGTAATATATAGCAGCGTGAATCCATGTCCCCAAACGAGTGAGGATCGGTTCTGGCGGTAAAACAGCAAATGTTTTTACAAAACAAAACAATTGATGGTCAGTTAGAAACTCAGATTAGTAAAGAGGCATTATTTTGGAAAAATGTTTTAACTCGACTAATAAAAATAAATTTGTTTTTAACGGCTGGAAACACTGCCCTTCGGGGCAATGAAGGAAGTACAAAACAACATTTTTCAGAAGGAAATTTTATGAGAACAGTAAAGTTACTAGCTGATTTATATCCAATCTTAAGCAAACTCTTAAACGATGAAAAATATAAAATCAAATACTTAAGCTGGCAAATTCAGAATGAAATTATCCAATTGTTATCAACGGAAGTTTGCAAAATAATTATAAATAAAGTAAAAAAGTCCAAGTTTTATTCTTTAATAGTAGATTCAACTCAAGATATCACCAAAATTGACCAGCTAAGTGTTACACTTAGGTATGTTGTTGTAAATTATGACCAAAAGTCGATTGAAATTAAAGAATCATTTTTAGGTTTTTTTAGTTGAAAAAACATGGCACCATAGATCAGGAAAATCTCATATATGAAGTGTTAGAATCATACAACCTAGATATTCAAAATTGTCATGGCCAAGGTTACGCCTCTGTGCTTGGTCAGGAGTTCAACAAAGAATTTCATCTACTGTCTCAAATGCCCCATATGTTCATTGTTGTGCTCATAATCTTAACCTAGTTATTTGTGATGCTGCTAAATCAACCCATGTTGCAAGCAATTTCTTTACAACCATTCAATCGATTTACAATTTTTTTAGCTCTAGTGCTCCACGATGGAGTATCTTAGCATTTAATACTGGATTTTCCCACAGAATAAGACAAAAAGTCTTAAAAAAGGTTAGGTATACACAGTATGTCAGTCTAGGTTCAAGAAATATTATATACATATCTATGGTATTAAAAAAAATTGACCTATAATAGGTACCTATAATAAATTCCAAATTAATCATATCACAATATCCATTAGGTACTTATAACGCGTTGTACATCAACGACAAACTCTGACACTATCATAGATATATAATAGTGTACTTTTGAAGTTTCAAGTACCCACAAATGATATACAATCAAGACAAAATAACTAAAATAGTTATTCTAGGTTTTTTATTATGTAATTTCATCCAACTTTGTACTTAAAATTACTATACAAATATTCTGTGCTTATGTATTTTTTAGATTTTTTGGTAATAGAATTAACTACTTACGTGAAATCTTGTTTAAAAATGTCAATACTTAGTGTAACTTGTAAAGTTGTAACAATGTTTAAAAAAAATTAACTGCATCCCTTGACTGAGAGCAATCAATAAATTGTATAAAACGTTCACATATTTCAAATCCATTACAATATCTCACACACAAAACTCAATTGTTCTTCTTTAAATGAATAAGCCTCATCGGACATTAATGAATACTTTCCACATTTTAAATTTTCATTTTTTATGACTTTTATAGTTGAATTGGATACAATATTAACAATTTCATTTTGGATATCATGGCTAGTATATGATAAATATGCATGATATTTTACATTAAAATTAAGGTCAAATTTACAAAATAGTTCACATAGTTCTAAAAAATTTCCTTTATTAGAACTTTCTTGTTTTTCATTGTGTCCTCTTAAAGCTAGTAGTCCCTGTCTAGCAGTGGCGCCCATTCCTATTACTAGGTGTAGCGGTCGCTACACCTTGAAAATAAGGGGTGGGTGGGTAAAACATAAAATAATTAAGTTGAAATATGTTCATTATTAATTATTATAAAATAATGATAATGATAATGTTATTGTATTTTGTTCATGCTTCATATTTCGTAAACCGTTTGAAATGAACAGTAAGCCACCCATACTATGTTCAAAATGAGGTCGTACCGTACCTCGTCGCGCAGGCGGTGACCGGTTTCCCCCCCGCAACCTTGTCATAGTTATAAATACAGTACCTATATATAGTTCAATAGTTGTAGTCATAAGCCCGACTTGTATACTATTTATATAATACTCGAAAATCATTAATCAAATGATAATATTGTGGGGACTGGGGATAGCAGGCGCGTCCCTGAGGGGGGGCGAGGGGGGCGAACGCCCCCCCCCCCCCGTAAGACGTGTAATTGTCTGTTTTTGTTTCATATAATATCCATAATTTTTAAGTAAAAATTGTTTAATAATTTTTTTTATATTTCGATTTGTTTTTACATTTTTGTTGGCTACACTAATTATGCAGACCGTTGATTTACATCTGAAACTGTGATAGAAAGATTAAATTATGTTATCATATTACGTTAATGTGATATTTAAAATTTGAATTATCTACTTCCTAGTGATAATATTATTTAATATTTATATTGTGCGTTACTGTTTAATTTGTTTCGAAGTGTTTTGAACTTTTGTAGTTTTGAAGTATTGAAACTTAAGATTTAGATATATAAAAATGAATAGTAAAAGGAGTGGATCCTGTCTAGTATCGTGGTTAAATAAGCAAAAAAAAAATAATGACAGTATTACACATCTCAATGAAGTGGTTCCAAGTGAAGTCGAAGATAATTCACTAAGTTTACCAGCTGAAAATGTATCATCAACTTCAAATGAAAATATGGATTTAAGTACAGATTTCGGTGATTATTTAGATGGAACAGGTTTAAGTGATTACAATAAAGTTAGACTTCTGGAATTATCTAATATTCCTGGAAATGATTTTATTTACCCACATAGTGTACACAATAAAAAAGGTAAGAATGAAAAAAGATTCCTCAACAAAACTCATTTTGAAAAGTTCAATTGGCTTGTTTATTCAAAAAAGCCGGTGGCGTTTTTTGTAAATATTGTATTTTATTTGCTGTTAAAGGTGGTAAAGACAAAAATATAGCGTTAAAAACTCTTGTTACTGTACCATTAACAAAATATGCTAAAATACTAGGTAAGGATGGTGATCTCTCTAAACACAACCAACATTTATACCATTTAAATGCAGTCTCCACAAGCAATGACTTTTTAATTCGTTTTAAAAATCCAGAAAATAAAATTATAAATTTAGTAAATACTGGTAGAATGAAACAAGTAACCGAAAATCGTTTGAGATTAAAACCCATCATTGAAACAGTTGTACTCTGTGGTCGTCAAAATATTTCGCTTAGGGGACATCGTGATCAAGGTGACTTGCTATCCCTTAAAGTAAATCAATCATCACTAATGAATGCATTTAATTTACAAACTTAAATATTATTTTTTGCCTATTACTTCTGCTTCTGCTTTTGCTTATTATTGCTTTGGTGTATTGTTTATTAGATTAAAAAGTTGGTTAAGAAGCCGAATGAATGAGGAGAGACTGACTGGATTAGCGCTTTTAAACATTCATAGGAATGAACCGATCAATATAGACAACATTATTGATCGTTTTGCTGCTTCCAATAAACGAGCTTTGGAGTTTGTTATATAATTTACTCATATATGAATTATTATTATTTACCTATTTTATAATTGTATAATATGTACCTAGGTACCTAAAGTAAAAGAATACATTTATCTGTTTGTACGATATTACACCTAACATATGGGTTTAAGTCTTTTGTTTATCAAAGTGGTGTTTAAGAGTATAATTTTTTCGCCCCCCCCCCATGGAATTGACCTGAAGACGCCCCTGGGGGATAGTCACAAATCACTATATAGTAATAATTATTGGTAAATGCGAAAAAGAAATAAACGTGTGTTCGATGTCTGACGGAAATTTATTATATTTTTATTGCATACCAGAAAACGACGTATGACACACACACAGACGGGTGACGGCCAACCAAATGCAGACTGCCTATTATAGTGCCTATAGAGTACTATAATAGGTAGTATATTATTAAAAATTATTAATAAATATTGTAATCGACGTTATAACGTCGTCGTCATTGTGTGACCAAAAATAACCAAAATCAACCTAAGTTTTACAATATTATTTTAATATACAGTCATTCCTTGTAATAATTCCATTCCATAGTGACAGTGCCACAGTGTTAAGTGTTTCTGTTAATACTTGTAAAAGTATGAACTGTTTATCTGTTTGTCTGTTAATTAATTTATTGTTTTGTGTAATTTCATTCCGTTCACTTGAGTATTGACTATTGAGTATTGATTATTGAGCGTGGATAGAATAAATATATAATCATCTGGTTTGTCCAGTTTATACAGTCCGGCCTGGAGAGTCCCGCAGCCTTTTTTCTTTAAATTCATTAAACCGTCAAATCGGTAAGTACCTGCCTACGATTATAAATTGTACCTAATATTAATTAAAGTATTATATATTACCAATAGTTTGTTAAATATGTCAATTTTTAATTTTATTTAATTTTAGTTAGGTATCAATTGTTAATTTTTTATTTAATAATGAATACCTGGTAAATAGGTACTGTGTTTTTTTTTATAGATAGTATACAAATTTCATCTTCGACGTCGCATTCAAGATGGTTGAAAAGTGTGATTGCGGAAAATTAAAAATAAAATATATCAATGATACTAACTGGATGCGACATTTAGATAGGTACCTGTCAAACATCAAAAATTAAATCAAAGAATACTGATATTACTTCTTTTTTTTCAATTGGTTGTAAAAAAAAAATTATGAAAGGTAATTATGTACCTTGTAACTTTTTAACTTAACATTTTCAATAATTGTCATAGACTATTTATAGCAATAATACATCACTAAAAAGTATAACATAATATTAAAACTTATTAAACTAAAATTAGTTTTCAATTTTCATACTATGACTAATTTAACAATTACAAGTATTTGCAAAAGTCAAGTTTATTTGTTTATTGTTCGGTTATGAAATCAATAATTTAAAATTTTAAAAAATATTTTTTTTTACATTTTTTCAAAAATGTGTCAACACTATCAAATAATGAAATACAATTAATAAATATTAAGTAGTATATATATATATATATATATATATAAGAGAAAACTTTGAACTAAAAAGTTTAAAGAACAATAAAAAATACCTATTAACTTTTATACCTACCTATGAAATGTTAATGTAGAAATATCAGAAGTTAATAATCAAGTATTAAAGCCATCAGGTTATGAGAAAAAAGATAAAGTTGATGTTCATGAACCAGACTTAAGTAATGTCTTCGCCGAAGGTTCAGTTAACTCAGTTCTACAAGTCGCAGGTATTTTTAATTTTGTAATTATTTTTGTTCTGACTTCAGTATGATCAATGCTTATTTAGATTTTTAATTTCCGATATATTTAATATGGGCTTAAACATTATTATTAATGTACCTAAATTATGTGTAACAATAATAACTAAAGCAACATTTGTTTATTTAGAAGTTGATAATGTGATCGATTCTGGAGTTTATGAACAAGTTTCAAAGCCAGTGGATTCTGAGGAAAATAATAATGTTGATGTTAATAAACCAGACTTAAGTAATGTCTTTGCCGAAGGTTCAGTTAACTCAGTTCCACAAGTTTCAGGTAGGTATATCGTATATCTCATTTTTAAATTGAATGGGCATTTGTTAATAAGAGGAATCTATGTTACATTTTAATAACTTTTCAGGATAAACAACAAATACTTTTCCCTTTTCTACATTTTCTATACTTTATCACATAACACGCAAAACAATTAAGATTATGTTTTATAAAGAGAACTAGCTCTAAGTGTAACTCGGGGCTCGTTGGACTCACTGGGAGTGGGTACCGATTTTGGAGACAATGAATTATAAAAGTCGCAAATGTTGTAGGACGAAAGTTTAGAATTTGTGATAAGGATTAGTGATATGGATTGGAGATAAGGCTAGACGCTTTGGCGGGAATGTTAAAAGTATGATCGTCTAGCAATCCGTCACAAACGTTGTAAATGGATTACCGCCCCCTTGGGGGCATTTTGGTCTCTATGGGGGGCGATAGTTTTGAAGGTGGCGTTGTAAATAATACAATTTATTAATATTATATAACAACACTACAAATAATTAGAATCAGAATAGTTGTAATTGCGTACGATACGACATACGGAATGTTATCTAATCGCATTTTACGTATCGGGAACGTCTTGTTTATAAAAAAATTATTTTTACATTTTCAACCATAACTGGACTATTGTATACTGTACCTTACAAGTTTAAAAAGGATTCAGCGTTGTTGTTCAGCTTTTGACGAAACAAAGAAATCGGTTGGACATTTGTAACAAAGGTGATCTACCTATTAAATATACCTTCAATATCGAACCAGACATCGCCACATTAGCAGCTACTCATCAGGCTCAGGGCAGTCATTGATAGGTATAATTTTTATATTTTATAATTTTTTTTTTCATAGTTAAGTAATTCTTTTTGTATAGTAAAGTAAAATGTTTTTGTTAAGTGGTGAAAAATATAACCTTTATTATCTAAAAATAAGAGTTTTTACTTTAGTTAATAATGTTATACTGTAATATACTGATGAATAAATAAATATATATATAAATATATCTTTATTAGAAGAAATTTTGATTTTGAGGGGGGGGGGCGTTAGCAGTAAGTTATTACGATTAAGGGGGCGCTGAAGGCTGAACTAAAAAAGGTTAAGAACCACTGATATAGAGTATACCTGCACATAGAGTGGTATGTGCCGTAGCATGACCGGTGCTTTATCTTATGTAAAAAGTGTAAAGTCGAAAACCGTGTTGGAGTTT